CATTGCATTCATTCTAGGAGGTGAGAAGACTAGCGCATCCACACTAAGTTGTTTGGCATGTCCATAGGATAGGAAACCTATGGCAGACACCCATAGCCAGAAGGCTGCATCATACAATACTGCCCACTATTATGACTCCAAAGCACTGATATCAGGATTGCATTGTCATCCACGACCAACCAGGCCGTGTGTTGGCTCGGCCTAAACTTAACCGTAAAGTACAACAACGCACAGGCAATAACAGAACCAATTGGCACAGGCAAGAACAGAACCAATTGCAGTTTGTTTTAACACACAGACCAGGTTGATTCTCCTCTTCGTCCTAGGACCCCTCTGCACGAGCACCTGAACGAGCGGAGTGACCTCACACGACTCGAGAACAGAACCAAGAGAATTCAGTACACATCATCCTTGCATGGTAGGCCTTGCATTACCTGGATTCGACATTCCACAATTGCACCCGTTTTAACAAACAAGACAGGTCTTTTCATTCTCTTCTTTGTCTTAGGATCAATCTGCACGAGCAGCTTGAGGATTTCACACTCTTCAACAACGGCATGAATGTGGAGCACAGCCTTGTAGCCCGCTGTGAAGATAGCCTGCAAACACATAATGGACAACAATCGACATCTCATCTCGTGAGCAAATGGCCCCATCGCCACCAATCCGCCCGTCTTGCTCTACTCGGTATGAGACCCCTGCAGACAGAAGTTCTTCACCACATTCACTGTCATCCATCCATGTGTAATTGCTGCCAATGCTTCAGCTGTCAGTCTTCTTATACAGGTATAAAGTTATAAAACCGACAATGCCGATTTCGCACCCATTCAGGCATCCTCAGGCACCTGCCAATTTCAATAACAGGTCAGGCAAACATAAGAAGGCACATTCAACAACACAGCATGTAAATGCAATGAGGCAAAGTTTGGTCATGCACGACGCAAGGAATCTTAACACAGCATTTGCACACAAAAAGACCAATCATCATAGACCATAGCTGCGGTGCACCTCGGTGCGGAGATTTACACACGATTTGCGCACCGCACACCGCACCTAAGCGCACCGCACTGTAAAAATTAGGTCCAAAAAAAAAAGAAAAAAAAGTAGGGGTTTTGTCATTCCTTAGGGGCCCCAACTTGGCAAAAATGTTAAACGCACCGCGCAACCTCGCAAACCGGCTGCGCCCTCGACCCGAACTTTTTTTTGGGCAAGGGCTACCGAATTTCAATTTCCGCAGGCCCTACCCCCAGAAATTTCAAAAAGGTAAAGCATAAAATAGGGCTCATTCCAACTTTTCTCTTAGGCGGGGTATGGAAACTAGCCTTCCCCCCTCTCTTCTGCAAATCCCACGCAGTCGTGGGGTAAGTTCGCAAGAAGGGAGTAGTCGCCTCGTAACGACCTGCCCCACGAACATTGCAGAAGTCACAGGTTCCATTTTCATGTCTGGCGGACCACCAATATATTCTGAAGGTTGGCGTTCAGGTCTGCATGTCGGCAGTTATGGGTTAGGATGAAGATGCCCGTAGCTCTCTCGGTTTTTTGTTTTTGTTTTCTTATGAATACGTACAGTGGGGCCTGCTCCACTACGCACCACATGCACAAAAGAAATAGCATATGGGGGTGTATGGTCCCATGTTTAAGCAGAAGATTCATTCTACTAATATTATTATTGTATACATTTGGTGAGTGGTGGAGGGAGCTCTCCTTTTTGTTTTTGTTTTCCTACGAATACGTACAGTGGGGCCTGCTCCACAACTCACCACTTGCACAAAAGACATATGGCGGTGTATGGTTCCATGTTTTAGCTGAAGATTCATTCTACTAATATTGTATACATTTGGTGAGTGGTGGGGAGGCCCTGAGAATCACGTGGAGACACGAACAGGCTCTAGCTGAGTTGGTGACCCATAACAGCCGAGCTACAGCCTGAACTCGAATCGAAAGAATATATTGGTGGTCTGCCCTACCTCTTCCACAGATAACGAGACCATCCTCCTAATTGAAGCAGCAGTCCTCGATGACTCCACATGTAACGTAGGAGTCATTCGAGGTACCTGCAGGGGCCCTTGAATTGACGTGAAGGGGACCCTTTGTTCTCTCTCTCTCTCTCTCTCTCTCTCTCTCTCTCTGTGGGGCCTTTTTTCTTTTTTTTAATTTATATCGCGCACAGGGCGCACCTCCCTCAGCACGCGCACCACGCACAGTGGACCGCACAGCGCACGGCGCACAGCGCAGTGCGCACCGCCCCACAACGCACTGCGCACTGGTGCGCCGCAACTATGTCATAGACTGTTTTGGAGATTGGACAGAGTTACCAACTACTCCCATAACAAACCTGGTGCCATTGTTTTCTTGTTGCATTTCCAATCGATCAAATGAAACCACCAGTAAATGGGCCGCGCAGCTGCAGCAACAGTCAACGCTGCACCTGTTCATTTACATTTCATTAACTTGGAGTCATCCATCCAGCATGGTTCTGTTTATCTTAACCAAGGCATGAACAGTGATGATAATTGCTAGGTTTATCAAAAATGGCTAGCGGCACCTCAAATTATTTACCATGATGGTTTGGATTTTCTGATCGGGCACAAAAGTGCATTGTGCAAGAAACATGAGTATGGACGAAGCACAGAAATCCAGAATGCAAAATCACACTGAAGTCCAAGTATTCAAAGCCAAAGCAGATAGCACATGGAACCGAGTAACCATCCCATTGAGAATGATACAGAAGAATCTTGAGTCAATGTCCATGCCCAACAGGGCAACACCAACAGCATAACCCAAATGTAGCTCTCTCTTGTGAATGGCGTACAACTACAGCAATGAACAGCAACCAGACAACTTGACTACCAGCGAGTGATGATGTCAACACCAATGCAGACCTCCACCATCACCAGGTACGTGTCCTCTTCCCCACACTCTCCCTTGTTACCCACACCACAGCGCCTTTCACCTCCGAAGAACCACCTTCGCCCTCACCTCCCCTGCACCCTCTTGCGGCCATGGCTATGGCCGCCAGTGCCCTCAGTGCAGGCAGCGCCCTACTGCCTAGCGCTGGCCTGCTTGCTCTTAGCGCAGCACTGCCTTGCACAGCGCAGCACACATGCATCCGCGCAGCGTGCCCGCATGTGCCAGCATTGGCCAAGATCCCTGCTGCCTCGCCCTGCTTGCCTATATGCCAGTGCAGCGTGTGGGCGGCCTCCCTTCAGCCTGCGACCGGGGCCCAGAGGCTGAAGCCAACTCGATACAGTTGGGCCCCGGGGCAATGCAGTTGCGCCTCCTTCATCAAGGCCTGCCACCAGATTCAGACAGTGGGCCGATTTCCCTTTTCGTGAAATGTTGGCCTCTCTACCCAGCATGCATTGTCGGCCTCACGTTCGAGTGCCCAGGGCCTAACAAACTCAGAGGCCCTGGGCATTTCAGCATTTGCTGAAATCCGAGACTCGGTGCACTCCAACCAACTGGCGTGCTGSAACTGTATAGACCCCACTTCGTGAAATGTTGGCMCAGAGGGCTCTTGTTGATTTGCTGGCCCGCCTTCACTTAGGGCGGGCACTAGGCTTGCTGGGGCCTTAGCCCAGAACATGTACATCATGGCAAGGCCCCTACTTGAGGGCTCAATCCTCACAATTGGATTTACCATGAGGCTCAGAGATTCTTGCACACCGTACAATCTACATGCTTCACAACCACCTTCACAAGAAACAAAAAAAAGAGCAATCGATGTCCTCCACACCTAAGCACACCAGTCGACCGCCAAAATTGAGTGAATCACTGAATTGCAAATTGCCCAATTTTCTCTTTAGGGAAACACATTCATAACAATCTTACTCTGTACTACACTGATTTCAATCCTTTGGCCCTTACCTTGTGATCGAGTAGATCGAGGATTTGTAGCTGTGCGTCAAACTCATTAACCACACTTATAGGACGCTCTGCAAACAACCATGAACAGTGCAACAACAAACAGAACTGGTCAACAATCATTCGGCCCTTACCTTGTACTCGTGAAGAACCACAAAAGTGGCAGGAGAAAGTAGGAACAAGGGAAGGGATGAGAGTAGGGTAGGTGAGGACTGTCAACTGACACCGGGAGCTTTCTGCCACCAAATGAGCTTCTACAGGCTAAGGGGCCAACATGAGTGCTTTGTGCTTCTGCAGCTCACCGAAGCATGGCCAAGCACTTTCTAAGTTAACGCAAAATCACCCTTCAAAGACATTGTCAACACCATATCAGAAAATCCATCCGGATCGCACAGTTGCACTGGAGATTTCTGCATTTTTCTGTGAATGCCTGTCTGTTATCTTGATTTTCTGAGATTTCCGAGTGGGAATCTGGTTCGGTTGTGTTGAATACGGTGCTTGCTGAGTCTGAATTTGTGTAGCGTGTGTGATAGCTCTGTTCCGGTGCCGTGCTTCCATGTTGAGGGCACGGTCGAACAGTGAACAGCTTTTAGTAACAGTGATCGGACTGAAGTTGGACACTGGACAGACTTAGAGGACGATCTCGGATGGACAAGAGGACCAAAGGAGAATTTCATACGGACCAGGTAGAGGTTTACGGTAACTCAGGCAGGCCTAGAAAGCTCGACTAGCTTTCAGTAGGTCATTATGGTCAGCCAGGTCAGGTAGAAATCAGTTCAGGCAGATTGCAGGCTACATTGCCGCTACAATGATTTTCCCACTGAAAGGCAGGAACCTTCGGTAGGACCTAGTTTCCTTGAAGCGGTACTGGAGGCTGAGAGTCAAGAGTATATCACCCAGTGCACTAAGTATTCCACCCATTCACGCAACAATCATGACGCTACCCTGCCCCGAGGGAGCAGGCAAAGCACTGGGTAGAAGGAGGAGCTGAGGTGACAAAAAAATACCTTGATGGGTATGTAGTAGTAGCAGTAGTAGTGGGAACGCGAAGGTCTAGGCTAAGGAGGTACAGGGAGAAATACAGCAAGCTAGGATATCAAGATAGGTGGAAGAAGTGAAGAGAGATAAGAGTAAGGAAGGAAGATGCAGCCGGCATGAGACACTTGGAAGGGAGGAGGATGGAACCGGCAAGAGACACGTAGTTTAGGCTATGGTTGATCTTCATCTTCACTTCTTGGTGTGAATGCATCTGGTGGGGAACCGGTTGAAAATGGACTTCATCGAGGAGTTTGGCTATGGCAGAACGCGATGGCAGAGGCATGATAGCAGCGCAATGTCTGTTGAACATCCATCCTGGATATGGAGGACCTGCCATAGTTATACTACACGGGAGAGAGAGAGAGAGAGAGAGAGAGAGAGCCCTGCAGAAAATTAGCAAGGGCCTCCTCTCCATGAAAGACGCAGTGCTCAAACACATAGCAGCACGGCACCAGCACGCCAACTATATATGGTGTATATTCACATTGAGATCCCTGTTTCAGCAGTTATGGGACCACTGAGCACGTGATTTTCTGCGCAGTAGCAAGCCAACTCACAATGTGATTTTCACGGCTTCCCTCCACTACTCACCAAATGTGCAAAACTAGAATAAATCTTCTGCTAGAACATGGAACCATACGCTGCCATATGTTTCATGTTTTGTGGAAGTGGTGACGAGTGGAGCCCGGCCCTTAGAGCCACTGCTCGTAGGAAAAGGAAAACAAAAGAAAGAGAGAACTACGGTATCAAGTAATTGTGATCCATAACTGCTGGAACACAGACCTGAATTCGGATCCAGAAGATACATTGCTGGCCTGCTCCTCTCTCATCCAAAATTCGATGAACGCCTCTGCTGAGACATTTGATCCCTGCAGGTTCTCTGCTGGGGCCCTTCAGAATAAAACTATAGCCAATGACGAATACGTGGGCCCAATTTTTTCTTTTTCTGCGCCCTTAGAATTTTTCAGAAGGGAGGGGCACGTTTGCCTACCTCAGCCAGCCCTTTCCGATTTTTTTAATTGACGCTATTTATTGGGGTGCGCCGCATCTCGTGCACGTGCGCTATGCGCCGCACGTATGACAAGGACATGTCGAGATTCAGCATGGAAAATCCTGCAAAACCACAGTTTTTGTTGCAATCACACCGGAAAACTGAAGCTGACAGATGTCAGATACTTACTGATGCTCGACAGAATAAATCCAGGGGAAATATCCTCCTCTTCAATATTCGAAAGTCGAACTCGCAGGTTTTCCCCAGGCCTTGCTCGCTCAATTTCGTCATTGTTCCTGATTATGGTCAAGACCTTCACCACCGCCTGTTGAACAGAAATGAAACATGTGCAATACATAGGCTCAGAATCTTCCTCCGCCTCCCATGGGTTCACCAAAGCTGAGATCCTTATAAATAGTTGTTGCATTAAATGCCCAGTGGATAGTTTTCCATGATTCCACACGATTCTACGAGTCATTTTCATAAAAGACCTCCTCTCTCTCTCTCTCTCTCTCTCTCTCTCTCTCTCTCTCTCTCTCTCTCTCTCTNTCTCTCTCTCTCTCTCTCTCTCTCTCTCTCTCTCTCTCTCTCTCTCTCTCTCTCTCTTATGGTCATTATAGCCGTAGTTACAACAATTCTAAGACCAGGTGCAGCTATGACCGCCAATCCTTATGTCCAGGTGGAGACAGTCGATAACCCTTGTTCCATGTAGTGACCATAAGATTCACTCTTCATGTCCTAACAATTAGCTTTGGTGTTTTTTACTTCTCAATCTCAGGCGCTGTGCCCTATGCTTTGTAGACAGCATTTCATTGCCACGATACGTGTAACAAAACATACCTGGCAGGGGATGGATGGTGGATACCTAACTCCTCTCAATTGGGTTGTTAATCTAATGATTGCAAACTGTGCTGAATGCCAGATGCCCAAAGCAACCACTCCAAATGAAGACGAAAGGGAAAAGAAACCAGGGGTTCAACGTCTCCCTTTGCAAGTTGACTTCAGAGCAAGCATTCATCCTGTGACTGCCACCTCGTGAGTATCAGTCTGAATATGCAGGTGCTTCGCAGTGCTTTAGCAGTGTCACTGTGCTCCTCATGCGACTGTCGTGTCCTTCTGAATGATCTGAATTTGTGCAATGAAGTAAACATCCCCTCGTAATGTTCTGCACTTGTGCATGCCCGCTACTCGGTGTACTCGCCTTTAAAAAAAAAGGGAAACAGCCTTAAGAGGGATCATCGCTTGCACTGATCGGCCCTGGCCTCTAGGTAATTCAAATTTGCAGTATTTTACTCATCTGCTTCACCTGCTTCGAGTGGAGTTCAAATTCAGGTCCACGTTTCAACAGTTCAGGGGTGTACCAACTGCCCGCTACTCACCTTGGTATTTCTGATGAATGAAATACTTCTGAATTACCTGGGGCCGATCAGTTCAATGATATAATACCTCAACGCCATCACCCGTTTTCTTTTTATATACAAAACAAGAAAGGGAACGAGCTAGCTTAGTTGGTTGAGCACGTAAGTAGCACTCAGGAGGTCGTGGTTTGGATTCCGAAAGTCGTTTTGGGGGGTTGCTTCGGGTTCACCAGCAGAGATTGTTGGCTTGGGCCCCCTCGATTGGTTATGGAACTATTTGGCTCCTTCCAACCCACACCAGTTGTTAGGAGCTTGGGTACTGCTCCCCGCACTGAGCAGAGAGTGGTAGGCATGGACCCATAACCGTAGGATAGCTTAGCTCTTGGTAGGGAATTTAAGCTTCCATGGCCCCCTCTCTACCTTCTCCCCCCCTTGTTCTCCTCCTTACAACTCCGTGGTGGCAAGATGTTATGGGTATGAAGATTGCACTTCCTGCAACAAAACTTAAACCACGCGTACACCCGGGCCTGGCGACATCATACAGCATGCCAAGCTTCGCTGAACCGCCAGCAGGGCACTTACTCTTTTTTGGCTGGCACTGCCAGCCCTTGTGGTCTGGTAGCCCCGAGCCTCCGAAACTTTCGAAAGGAGCCATGAAGTAAATCTTGCAAGGCCGGGGCGTCTACTGGCAGTTTAAGAATCACAACAAAATGCGCGTTTTGCTGAACCAGTTACCTAATATGTCCTCGTGTGCAGTATTTGGTTGTCATGCGTCCAGATCGACTTTACTGTCATTTGCTTGACAATCCTCTTATAAGGTAGAACCATGCAGACAGCATTTCATATGAAGTGAAAGTAATGATCGCACAATGGACGGTCTAAGAGCAGACACAGGATTCACATCCAACAGCGGTCAGAGGTGTCGCAGCCACTCCGATTGTATAGTGCTAGCAAAAGCAGAATTCACTTGGTTTCTTGTGAAACGTCTCCCAGGTTCGCAAACTGAACAGGTTCCATAAACTTCCATGGTATTAAATTGGGAAGTCGGATCCATCTGGAGCTTGATATTGATGTCATAAGCTCAATAGTGCGTTCTGCCTCTACGTGTTAATCCGAAGTAAAAAATACATAACCTGCCCAAAGGATGTCAATACTGCACTACACACCGAATGGCGAACGTGAAAAATACATAACCTGCCCAAATTTTTCAACTTCTGTTATCCTGCTGTTGACGACAATAAAGATTGGAAGGAAACATGAATCACTCGCCGAAAAAAAATTGCACCTTGTTTGGCATGACCATAAGAGTTTGGCCTCTCCGAATGTTGCCGGACTCGATCTTGCCCATTACGACAGTGCCCATATCCTTGTATTTGTCAATGATAGGCAGCCTGCACATGGATCAGAATACACAGTACAATAATGTCAAACAATACGACCCTAGAGTCTAGACACAGCACATGGAAGTGGACTGAGGCGCCAAGGAAAGTGCTGAGCTTCTTATGAGAGACATCACACCTGCAGCATTGAGTACGGCAACTGCCAATCTTTTCTCACCCGCACGACTTAAAAGGATGGCGTATTACAAGTCCCCATATATGACTGTGTCATGCTCTGTGAGGGGAAATCTGAAGTGGCTGTCGAACGAATATCAAACAGAAGCATAAACAACAAGTAAATAAGACAGAACTCGGAGAGACTTGGATCTATCTCGCCAGAATGGCCCATTGAGACCTCCATCCACCCGGTTAATGCACTGGCTTAATTAGGGGTTTGGCAATGTCTACGAGTATACAGTGATATGACGGGAACCTCTGCCTCGACAGAATGGCCCCTTGGAGATCTCCCATGTACATGACGGGAAGCTCTCTCTTGCCAGAGTGGCCCCTTGAGATCTCCCGTGTGCAGTTTTTAACGAGGAAGGCTATAACAAGAAGGGGTGTTTAACTCATGTAAGGCATTGGAATCGGGTGATCGACTGCCGTATACAATCATCTTTTCTAAAAAAATTGCTGTTGCAAAAGCTGGTGCTTTACAGTAGGAAAGTGTGTATATCATCGAGTCGTGTCCTGTAAAACAAAATTCAGAAGTACACATCAGAAAAGCATTAACCGCAGTTTAAGATAAACAAACAAAAAGGATAAATCGCATGGTCATCCACTTACCTGACCGGACCCTTTGGATCCCTCTCCACCAGCTGAAGGCCATCAAGAACTTCAAACAGGGATTGCCCATTCCACCAGGGGCAGATATCTGGTGTCATACGTGTCTTCATGTTAATTCCTTGCAACCCAGAGATTGGTATATACTGCACATCTGGAACCAGAGAGACAATGCCACATACAAATAATTACATGCACATCATATTAGACTCAAGAAATACATTCACGATCATCACAACACAGCAAATATCTTTCCACCCATAACACCAAGTTTCCCTCCCCTCATGCTGCCTTAGTGCAAATTATTATCTAAAAAAAGATATTTGGTTGTACTTGAACATACAGCAATAGTGCATCCTCGCGAGTGATCTCATCATCATGTACATGATAGACCGCTGCTTCAGCGATGTCTGCTACCAAGTCCACAAGCATCTTCTCCCCTTCCCCTCCCTGTCCCTGTTGTGCACCTCCCCTGTCTACTTCCTCCCTCCTGTCCCATTCCCCAGTATTTCTGCCAGTTCATCCTCATCCCCCTCCTCCTCCACCTGTTACTACTTACATCCATGCTGTACACTCGTCCCTCTCCTCGTCTTCGCTTTCTCCATCGTCATCCTAACTGTCCTGCTGCTGCCCCTCTTGCTTCCACTCTCGCTCAACAACATAACTTCATCCAATGGGATGAGAGACATAACATTACCCACCTTTGCTCTACTGCATGAAACACGACCGAGAAGGCCCACAGCACTAAGATTTGCACCAAGCAGAGGCACAGGTATACATAATAATAACTTCTTTTTTTTAACTAACCTACATTCTTCTCTCAATATGCCTGCCACTACCTACCGATATACTACTAGCTTAGCAGGGTACGCTGGGATTATGGGTTGCATTTTCCGCCTCCAGATTTTTGCCTCAGCATGTCCCGTGGGATGTTCTACGAGGGGAACAGTACCCAAGGCTCCTCAGTCCTAACACCTGGTGCGAGCTGGAAATCAGATTCACATCATTCCACAACCAGCCAGGAGGGACAAGGCGACTTTCCCGGTTGATGAACCCAAAGCATACCACACAGAGGGTCGTGAGGAATTGAATGAATGCTGTGGGAAATTGAACCCACGACCTCCTATGAACAATCAAAAATATGAATGCAGTCGCAAAAACACCACCATGATCCCTGACAGGCTCCTTGGATTGCACTGATATCCAAGAGGGCTGCAGAGTCATGCTGACCAGTCCAGCAGCGGCCCACAGGAAAACATAGGAAAATGCAACAAAAAACTGCAGTCCCTGACATCCTCTGTCAGGTCGTGATCTAGACAGCTAGATGACTAGAGCCCATTGAAAAAGAAAACATTGGGTTCTCGTTGCTGCCAAAGACCAAGGTTCAATGGCTCCAGGATCAGGTGAACAACACGATTCGCAAAATTGGCTAGGGGCAAAGGTGGTACAAACTTCAGCATTATCTGAAGATACTGGCACAGTCACTCCCATTTGTGACTGGCCTCTCGGGCTAAAAGCCCATTTCTGTAGATGAAAGAATTTTTTAGGCTGTCGAATCAGCGATCTAATGGACCAGGTGAAAAATCAGACAGATGCAAGAAAACGAAGTGATGGTGGGGATAGCTCAGAGTAGGTTCACGTTCCCTTCTTAGGTACCTCTCCGCTTGCAGGCTATTCTAGCAGAAAACATACTGATGTGTGATGCGATTTCTACTTGCTGTTCACATTATGTTGCTGGGCTATTTTCATGCAACAACACACTACACAGAGTAGCAAGACGCTGTGTTCCCTGCAATATGCCTGTTTTACAATGCCGTAATGTTTCCTAAACACCAGCAAATCACTCACAAGATTCGAGTCACAACCCAAATGAAGCACATGTCATATATTACCTTTCTTTGTGTTGTAACCACAGCTCCGCAGGAACGGACCCATCTTCTTTTCAATCTCGTCATATCTACAAACACACACACACACACACACACACACACACAAAGGCATAGACACAATCCAGAGGGAAATATTTTAAATTGCCTGCATTGGAAGCATTGGTGCTTCGTATCAGAGCAGAAAGCCAGAGACAAATGGAAGCACTACAATACACATGAAAATTCCAAGACGTGTATGGAGTCAATCAATGAAGGCAATTTCAAGCAGCCTTCCACAAAATCCGCTCACTCAAGAACTGCTACATTGCACAAAAGTTACTCTCCCTCCCCATTTGCGGCCGATAATAATAGCACACTTACCGTTCCTTTGACCATTGAACCGAAGGCTCATCCATCTTATTAACCACGACCACAAGCTTTCCCACGCCCAGTGTCTTTGCCAACTGTGCATGCTCCCGGGTCTGCCCCCCACGTTCAAAACCAGTCTCAAACTCTCCTTTTCGTGCAGAGATAACCTGCAATTTTTCAAAACAGCATACTCAGCACCTCGCAGCTGATAGCATAAGAAAACATGGCAGGCTTGCACAGGAAACCAGCTGAAAATGACATGACCGCTGCCCTCAGTACTAGGCCAATTTTCTCGAGCCAGCTCATCTTCAAAATGTGACACCAAATAAGAATTTGCGAATTTTGCGGCAACAGTCTTCCAGGATAAAAAGGCAGTCAATGGATTCTACAATTCAGTAGCAACCAAGGAACCCATCTGTTACACTAAATGCCATGCTAAGATTCGACAGAAGTGATTGCTTTGACTGGCATTTTCATCATTTCTACCCTCTCTTCCATTTGACCAGCACTCTCTTCTGTCTGACTGACAGGCCCCAGAAGGAAAGCCCACGGTTGGGAAAAGGCTAATATGCAGATGCAAAGGTTACCTCAGATGCATGCCCGAAGCATGCCCGCATCTCATCTGTAACTTGTTTTTCAGTCTTCGATTATCATTTATCCGTTTTCCTTTTGACGTGCT